TCAGGCAGCACGCGTGCCTTACAAACCCGCCACACCCAAACCACACGCTTCACCTGCTGAAGAGCACTGAAAACTCAACGACTGATGCTAGAGTGCTGTGGAGGGTTGCTAAGCAGTTTTGGGTGTACCTGGTGGTTGTTATGCCGTTGCTGGGGTGTTCTTGATGGTTGTTAGGGTTCTCTGGATGGTTGTTTTGCAGTTAATAGGGTTGCAGTAAATAAGATGTTCTTGGTGGTTGCTAGGGTGTTTTGACTGGTTGCTAGGGAGTTATGTGTTGCTATGCAGTAGCTAAGGACTTCTGGGTGGTTTCTAAGATGTTCTGGGTGGTGCTAGCATGTTCTGAGTGATTGCTGTTCAGGATGTTTTGGGTGGTTGCTGTGCAGTTGCTAGGGTGCACTAAGTGGTTGTTATGCTGTTGCTAGGGTGTTCTTGTGTTCTTGAATGATCTTCTGGGTGGTTGCTATGCAGTTTCCAGGGTGTTTTAAGATGTTCTTGGTTGCTAGGTTTTTTTGTTTTTTTGCTAGGATATTCTGTGCTGTTGCTACACAATTACTTGGAAGTTCTGGATGGTTGCTAAGATGTTCTGGCTGATTGTTAGGGTGTTCTTGGAGGCTGTTATGGTGTTGCTTGGGTGTTCTGAGTGATTACTGTGCAGTTTATAGGGTATTCTGGGAGGCTGCTATACAGTTGCTGGGGAGTTCTGGGTTATGGTTACTTAGATGTTGTTGGTGGTTGCTAGGGTGTCCTAACTGGTTGCTAGGGTGTTCCGAGTGCTTACTACTCAGTTTCTAGGGTGTTCTGGGAGGCATCTATGCAGTAACTAGTGAGTTCTGTGTGGCTGCTAAGATGTTCTTTGTGGTTGCTTGGGGGACCTGTCTAGTTGCTAGGGTGTTCTAGGTGTTGGCTAAGCAGTTTCTAGGGTATTCTGGGAGGCTGCTATGCATTTGCTAGGGAGCTCTGGGTGGTCGCTAAGATGTTCTTGGTGGTTGCTAGGGTGTTTTGACTGGTTGCTAGGGAGTTATGTGTTGCTATGCAGTAGCTAAGGACTTCTGGGTGGTTTCTAAGATGTTCTGGGTGGTGCTAGCATGTTCTGAGTGATTGCTGTTCAGGATGTTTTGGGTGGTTGCTGTGCAGTTGCTAGGGTGCACTAAGTGGTTGTTATGCTGTTGCTAGGGTGTTCTTGATGGTTACTATGATCTTCTGGGTGGTTGCTATGCAGTTTCCAGGGTGTTTTAAGATGTTCTTGGTTGCTAGGTTTTTTTGACTGGTTGCTAGGATATTCTGTGCTGTTGCTACACAATTACTTGGAAGTTCTGGATGGTTGCTAAGATGTTCTGGCTGATTGTTAGGGTGTTCTTGGAGGCTGTTATGGTGTTGCTTGGGTGTTCTGAGTGATTACTGTGCAGTTTATAGGGTATTCTGGGAGGCTGCTATACAGTTGCTGGGGAGTTCTGGGTTATGGTTACTTAGATGTTGTTGGTGGTTGCTAGGGTGTCCTAACTGGTTGCTAGGGTGTTCCGAGTGCTTACTACTCAGTTTCTAGGGTGTTCTGGGAGGCATCTATGCAGTAACTAGTGAGTTCTGTGTGGCTGCTAAGATGTTCTTTGTGGTTGCTTGGGGGACCTGTCTAGTTGCTAGGGTGTTCTAGGTGTTGGCTAAGCAGTTTCTAGGGTATTCTGGGAGGCTGCTATGCATTTGCTAGGGAGCTCTGGGTGGTCGCTAAGATGTTCTTGGTGGTTGCTAGGGTGTTTTGACTGGTTGCTAGGGAGTTATGTGTTGCTATGCAGTAGCTAAGGACTTCTGGGTGGTTTCTAAGATGTTCTGGGTGGTGCTAGCATGTTCTGAGTGATTGCTGTTCAGGATGTTTTGGGTGGTTGCTGTGCAGTTGCTAGGGTGCACTAAGTGGTTGTTATGCTGTTGCTAGGGTGTTCTTGATGGTTACTATGATCTTCTGGGTGGTTGCTATGCAGTTTCCAGGGTGTTTTAAGATGTTCTTGGTTGCTAGGTTTTTTTGACTGGTTGCTAGGATATTCTGTGCTGTTGCTACACAATTACTTGGAAGTTCTGGATGGTTGCTAAGATGTTCTGGCTGATTGTTAGGGTGTTCTTGGAGGCTGTTATGGTGTTGCTTGGGTGTTCTGAGTGATTACTGTGCAGTTTATAGGGTATTCTGGGAGGCTGCTATACAGTTGCTGGGGAGTTCTGGGTTATGGTTACTTAGATGTTGTTGGTGGTTGCTAGGGTGTCCTAACTGGTTGCTAGGGTGTTCCGAGTGCTTACTACTCAGTTTCTAGGGTGTTCTGGGAGGCATCTATGCAGTAACTAGTGAGTTCTGTGTGGCTGCTAAGATGTTCTTTGTGGTTGCTTGGGGGACCTGTCTAGTTGCTAGGGTGTTCTAGGTGTTGGCTAAGCAGTTTCTAGGGTATTCTGGGAGGCTGCTATGCATTTGCTAGGGAGCTCTGGGTGGTCGCTAAGATGTTCTTGGTGGTTGCTAGGGTGTTTTGACTGGTTGCTAGGGAGTTATGTGTTGCTATGCAGTAGCTAAGGACTTCTGGGTGGTTTCTAAGAT